TTCTGAGCCTCAGAACTTCATCAGTACAGCAGATAGACACATGACATTTAGGAGGAAGAACACATCTGGGTTCTGCTAGAACCTGACACCTGATCAGTTCTACATCCACCCAGGTGTCTCAGTCTGAATACTGGACCTGGTTCTGGTCATGTCCTCTGTCAGCAGCTGTGAGCTAACAGTGTAGATGAAGAAACAGCGGTTCTGAGGAGGTCAGAGGAGAACTTTGTTCAGATTTAGTGGATTTGATCTGGAATAATCCAACAGCTTCGTAGTTTTGTTGTAAAATGAGCTAAAAGCAGCTGAGCTGAATCCTCGATGTGGATTAAACGAGTTAAAGTTCAATCAAAGTGGAAACAGAGCAGCAGTGAATAAAAACTGTTCATCTGAAAACATACAGCAAGAAACCGCTTCAAAATAAACACATTTCAACTGACAAGGAAACGGAACATTCTCCATAAATATAGAATAAATATTAAAAAACGGAACCCACACATTCACTGGTGTCTTTCTTCTTGTGTTCAGTTCAACATGATGATCAGAGCATCAGAACCAGCAGCTCCTGTTCGCTGTAGTGACGTCTGGTTGAGGCAGCAGAGCGACGCCTGGAGCTGCAGCTTCATCAGAACCAGCAGCTGGCCCAGCGCTGGGCTGTCGGCAGCCCTTCAGTCTGCTGCTGATCCTTCATCAGGAGAGAGTCGACGGTGTTGCGCGTCCAGCAGTGATTTGTCGTGTTCAGGATGTTTTATGGCACTAAAGACTGAAGGTTTCACGACAAGCTGCAGGAAAGAGTCGGACCAGGGAGCTCCACGGCTTCGTCATGTTTAGAATGTGTCACAGGACGGTTCAGACGGGCCACAGCTGCAACTCACCGCTTTTTAAACAAGTTCAACGTTCTGAATGGGACGGTTCAGTTACAGAAGCCAGTTCATCTTCTGTCATTTCTCAGTCAGATTCTAACATCCTGAGTCCGTTTTAGGTTCAGAACCTCCACAAATAAAAGTCCAACAAATGTGGAGACTCAGTCACAACAGTTCCATCAGAACCACTGAACGGATCCATCAGGACGCAGCTTCATTATTGACCCATAAAGTTCCTGTCAGTGTCCGTCTATGGATGGATCCATGGTTCTACCAGAACCAAGCCTCTGGTCACATTTCACTGCCTGTTGAGGCTCGAACATCAGCAGAACCTGATGCGGTGAAGTTGGACCAGAGAAGGTTCTGGTTCATACATGTTTAGACTAAGTGTTGGCGTGGATCATTGGTAGGAACCAGAACCAAATGAAACATGAGATTAATTGAGATGAATTATCATCAGTTTCTCTGATCACTGTTTGTGTTCAGCGTCTGTGTGACAACGTTCAGTCAGTAAGATGTTAAAC